GTTGAGGGGAAAGCACTCTTTCCCAGTGCTAAGGTTGATGAGGCAGCCAAGCTGCCTCATCAGCTTGGCTATCCACTTGTTTGCCCTGCCTCTGCCCTCTGTTGACTTTGACAAGACCCTTATCGCTGTCTTTTACCTGCCTCTGAGCAGTCCTCAGGCAGTAGCATGCGATGAGCACATCCCCATATGCAGATGTATGTGTATGAATTGCTTCACAAGGTCCGTGCCCATCTCACAACGAGGGATTCAGGACTTCACTGGGACACTGCTTTTCTGCTCCGAAAAATGTCAGAATTCTATCATTCAATGCACATCCCGCGATAGCAAGGAAGAGGAATGGCAAGTTTGTGTTGCTGAGACGTGTAGCAGGAGGGAGAGAGTGGGATTTTCCAAAAGAGGGCATAGCACAGCTAGAAATAACTGCGTTTAAAGTAGTGACATTTTTATGCACAGAAAAGCTAACTTAGAATATTTTTAGAGGATTTTATAAATCCCTCTGAGCTCAGTACCTCTGGATTCATCATGCAAGATACCTGTGTTACAGGGAGAAGATGTACAAGAAATAACCCCATATATAGCTCCTGTGCTCTCTTGTGCTTTCCCTAAGTAGTTCTTATAACCACAGGTAGCATATGCAAAAAGCATAATGAAACCCAGAAAGCTTGGCTGCTTTTGCATTTCTCTCTGTGAAAGAGAAATATAGGCTGCTTTTGAAAACAAACAGACAAAAAAGGAAAGCTGTCATAATCTCGCTGACATGCCCTTTCTGCAGTCATGGGTGTATCTAAATATCAGTGGTTAATTTTTGCAAAATGATAAGCCTTCTTTTTGTCTTTCAGCTCTGTGAAATGTAGCTGCCAGGAGCTTTTGGATTAAGCTTTATCAGGCTCCAGTTAGGAAAGCCTCGTGGAGGTTACGTAGCCAAATACAACACACAAATCAAATTATGGAAGAAATGAATGTGGAGTTGTTAAATTAATTTTGTTTGTTCCAGCCCACTGGAATGTTTTTAACACGAAGAAAATAATTCTGTGCTGTATGACTGGCCTGGCCAGTGCTTAGGACTGTATTAGCATGCTGCATTTGTCTGCAAGTGGTAAACAGGTTTTCTCTAAGCTTGAGTGAGCTTTTGGGTTTTATTTGTAGAGGACATGCAGTACTTGGGGCATTGCTGCATGATGTCCCCCTGCTGCAGCAAACGTCCCATCCTGCTGAGCCTCCCAGAGATGTTCCTATGGCCCCAGAGAGGCTGTTCTGCCTCCTGGGTCTCCAGCAGTCTGCTGGCCCTCCGTCATGGCTTTGGTATCACCCTAGACCTACACAGTGCTAGTTCAAGTATCTCTACTCTTTGTTTACAGAATCATTAAGATTGGAAAAGACCACTAAGATCATTCGGTCCAACCATCACCCATCCCCACCATGCCCACCAGCCATGTCCCTCAGTGCCACATCTCCACAGTTCTTGAACATACCCAGGGATGATGACTCCACCACCTCCTGAGCAGCTCGTACCAGTGCCGTACTGTTATACCACAGAGAGACACCCTGAAATCTCCCTCAGTATTTTTATTATCCCTTAGGATCTGAGTGTAACAGAACATTAGTAATGCTTTCTTAAAAATAGCTGAAATCTGCCATTTCAGTGTGAAGTGATGTTGGTTCTTGGGCTATGTTTTGTTTTTTTTTTCTGAAGCACATCATGAGTACATTGGATTCTTTGCTTATGTTGCCTGGTTAAAAGAAAACATTGACCAACCCACACGTGTTACTCTTTGGTGTATTCTGATTCAGTCCTGAGGAGCACTCAGACATCTCTTTCCTGACCCAACCTCTTTCTGCTTCTGTTTGTCCTCAGGCACTCATTTTGTGGAATCATTAGAAGCTCTTTAGTGTAAAAAAAAAAAAAAATAAAAAAATAGAAAAGAAAGAGAAGAGCTGCGATTTTTTTAATCTTCTGCTGAAAATCCAATGCACACAGAATATTGAAAGGAAAATTACCTCTGTGGAAAATGCCAGTTGTTTTATAAATGGTCAAATCATTACATTTTTTCTTGCTTTTCAGACATTTGCTACGTTATTACACATCTCTTTAATTAAATCATCAAATTGAATTATTGGATCAAATGTTTTTTATTCCATTGTATCCTGAGCAGGTTTGGTTAAATTAATAAAACCATATGTTTCATTTTATAAAAAGGATTTTTTTTTTTTTTTGCCCATTCATAAGCTGTAAAAAGAAAGAAAAAGTGAGCGAACAAAAAATGCTGGTTATTACTTAATTACATCAGGTTCTTCTGAGTGCCTCTGAGGAATTGCAAAGCAAAGTCATACTAAGTCATAAAAAGTTTGTAACATCATTTACTGTGAAATAGCAGCAGAGTAAATTCCATCTCCTTTTGGCTGGCCATGAAGGCAACTCACCCCAGTCATGCAGTGTCTCGGTGAAGTCTTGCAGTCATTGAGCTGCTTCAAGTGCCCATATCCTTGGATCACGATGCACGGTCGCAGAGGATGTCTTAATGTTGAGCCTGTATGTCTCCATTTACCCTTGGGACATTTGTTCCCCTCCTCTGGTAGTCATGAGCTGTTCTGAGTTATGTGGATGCTGGCTGCAAAGAGTGGTGTGGAGCAGAGGACATGGCAGTCCCCTCTCCGTTGGGTGGCTTAGGGTCGTCATCTACAAAAGCATGGGATGGTTGAGAGGGGCATTGCAATTAAGGTAATCTGTCTCTCATGAAGGTTATCTGGTTGAATTATTTCTGCAAGAATTTGATGCATGATCACTTTAACTGTATAAATCTCTGGATCTCCTCATGGAGAAGGAGGACTAGATGGACTTTCAGGTCTGGGTATTCCTTCACCCTGGGTACCACCTCCAATTGGATTTATTTAGGAGGAATGGCGAAAGCCAGCATGGCATTTTGAGGAGTGATTCTGTGATGACAAAGGGCTTCAGAGGGGGCAGTTATGATTTATTAGTGCCGTTATCAGTAAACAGTGATGTAAAGGAGAATTGATCTGACAATCTCAGCAGAAGGAGGTGAGCATGGAGAGGCATACCAAGAACCACGAAGCTCTGTAAATCTCAGCAGTGGTGTCTGCTCTCAGCTGTGCCCTCAGAGTTGGGTCCAGCACCCCCTTCAGCACTCAGCTGCATTGCCAGCAAAATGAAGCTCTTGGGTATTTTCCTGTTGCATTGGTAATATTGGTGTGTACAGTGTTCTGTCTTTTTTATTTAGGAACTGTAACTTATTTCAGCAATGCTACAGCAGAGCTATAAGACCGACCTGGAACTCCAGGCCTAGGAGCAGACTTTTCAGTACAGCCAAGACTCCATAGAAGTGAACTAACGTCCAGATATATACGCAGTCACCTACCTGCAGCATGCATACAAGCTGAATGGGCTGGGTTTAAATGGAAGTCATATTAGGAAAAATAACTGAAACAGTGTCAATGTGATGGGCTGGTGACACTTTGACTTTCCCTGCCAAAATGTACCATCTCCTTTGCCACAGCGCATGTATTTAGGCATCATTTCAAGTGATTTTTCTTGCTTCAGAGTTTGGAAAGTGAACATGAGAATCTGTCCTGAACTGTGTATTTTAAACACAATATTTTAAAGCTTGGAAAATATCTGAACTCCATAGTTGGAAAGTGAATGATAAACTTTATAGATAGCATATGAGTGCCATCTAGTGTTTTTCATTAGTACCTCGACCTTCATATTTCAGTTGCTTGAAAGGTATGTTCTGCAGCAGCTGCAAGTGGGCTGTGCTCTGTGTCCAACCATGCACCAACCACGGTTGGGGCCAGAAATGACTTCTGCCTCTGCACTCTGGGTATGGTGAGGAAGCCACAGCTTTTGGAGGCTGGCTAGAGAAAGACATTGAGATTTTGGAAAGGGTCCAGAGGAGGGCGACTAAGATGATCAGGGGGCTGGAGCACCTCCCCTATGAGGACAGGCTGAGGGAGTTGGGCTTGTTCAGCCTGGAGAAGAGAAGGCTGCGGGGTGACCTCATTGCAGCCTATCAATACCTGAAGGGAACCTACACCCACGAGGGGAGTAAACTCTTCAAAAGGGCTGACAACAGCAGGACTAGGGGAAATGGATCGAAGTTGAAGGAGGGAAGATTTAGGTTGGATGTTAGGGGGAAGTTCTATACAAGGAGAGTGGTTAGGCCCTGGAACGGGCTGCCCAGGGAGGTTGTGGATGCCCCGTCCTTGGATGTGTTTAAGGCCAGGTTGGACGGGGTCCTGGGCAACCTGATCTGAATGTGTGTGTTTGGTGGCCCTGCTAGGCAGGGGGGTTGGAACTACATGATCCTTGAGGTCCCTTCCAACCCGGGTGATTCTGTGATTCTGTGATCTGTGATTCTGTGATTCCCCTGCCTGCTAGCAGAAGGAGATGGCTGAAGGCCATCAGGTGCTGCTCTTTCCTGTGCTGATGATATTTTAATGACAAACAGTTCAGAGACTATGAAGGAAAACATGTAGGAAAAAAGAGCAAGAACTAACTTCTTGTGTACAAAAGATGTACTGGGTTAGGAGGAGAATGATTACTGACATAACAGTGTCACATTGTTAGAGGATACAACTACTGCCAGAGCCAGCAGAGCACACCTGGTAGTTTTCTCCCTTCATATGGTGGGAGGCTGGGGGCCAGGAAAGATGGGGCTCTACTGTAATTATGAATGTGGAAATAGAAAACTTTTTATTGACCAGGTTGAAATATACGTGCAAATGCTTGCACTAAAATTAAGGCAAAGCACTGAGCAGTCAGCTTGAGAGAATGGATTCTCTCTCTCCCTTCACTCTGGAGAGCAGAAAGCAGCTGCAGGTGGTATTAAATCCCATTGGTCTCAGTGGATTGCAGTGTAAGCTATTACTGCAGGCAAGGGCATTAAAGAAAAAGCTTGGGTCTTAGAGTGAGGCACAGTTCTCCCTGTTTGTTTTCTCTCAGTTATTTACAAGAGTTTCATATTTTTCTTTTCCTTTTTCAGCTTGCAGCACTCCCCCAGTCAACATGAAAGTGCAGCCTGTGAACAGGACAGCGTTGCTTGTAACCTGGAACCAACCAGAAACCATCTACCACCCTCCAATCATGAACTACATGATCTCCTACAGTTGGACTAAAAATGAAGATGAAAAGGAGAAGACTTTCACCAAGGACAGTGACAAGGACCTGGTAAAACCACAGCATCAGCCCCAGGCACACGTATCAAACTGTCCTTACACTGTCTTCTCAGCAGAAGGAAGCAGAGGAGGGAAGCAGCTGTTACATTACTGACAGACTAGGATTTGACTTGCCATGTATTGCTATTAGATTGTTAGGCATTAGTTGAACATTGCCTAACAGACTTACCCAAAACACTGGTGTCTGAATTTATAGCTTATGTGAGTGCATAAAGGACTAAATCTGCAGACACGTTTTCATGTGCTGTTGCCAAGAAGCAGCTGTCTCAGGAAATAGTCAGACTCTGAGTACCTTTTAGCTTCTGTTCAGCTCACAGCTTTTCGCATTAAAATCCCCGGTCCCCCAGAATCTGCTGCTGGGTTCAGGCTCTTCCCTGTGCATAGCCCTGTGCAGTCTTTGGATCGGTTTCTGATCTGTGAGTGCTGCCAGCAGCAGTCAGGGCAGGAGGATTATTGCAGAGTTGCTCTGTGCATGCGCTGCCTCACTCCTCTTGTAAGAGAAAAAGTGGGAAGAGCAAGACAGCTCCAGCACAGATGCAAACACTGATCTATCTCCTCCATTTAGGATTTGATCTGCTTGTCATTCTTGTCTAAATGGAAGCAAGTATTGTACCAGTCTTTAACGTTCTCTGCATATAAAATCAAAGTGACATATTCAGGTTTGAAAGGCCTCCGTTTATTGTTAATCAAAGAAAGCCTCTAGAATAATGAAATCAGTAATTGTATATGCACATGAAAAATGCAGGAGCATAGAGTGTTATTCCTAATGACTGTTACCGTATTTTTTTTTTTCAAATACACAGTCCTCTGGGCCCATTCAATCAGTTATACAATAATACTTCTCTTATTCCCTTAGATGAAGATTCTTTTACTTCATTTTCCATTAATATTTTCAATTTCCCCACTAGACATTGTTATCTGGGTCACATTAGGGAATGATGTGCCTCACAAAACCAGACAGGAATGTATTGAAAGGCATCCAAGGTTATGATGTATTGTAACCTCTCTCTTGTCATAACTTTGCACTCTTAAGGGAGATTTCATTTTAATCAGGTATAGGGAGGAGAGCCTTAATCAGCAAAAATGAGGTGGGCATGGAGATGGCATCCTGTTTGATGTAAAAGAAATAATTAAAAGTGCAAGGGATGTGATGGAGTGATAGCTTGGAAACAAATTGCTGTGAGACCCTGTGCTGTGCAGCAGAGCTTGGAGGTTAAGAAAGCAACGACAGCTTAGTCTATTTTAGGGGCAAGAGAAGAAAGAAACTCTTTTTCGGAGGAAAGTGCAATTTGCCTTTAGTGCTCTGGCAGAGACAGCTGGGATGTCCCATCTTGAAACAAAGCTAGACAGTGTTTTGCTGAAGAGATCACTGGTATTTCAAGTGACCTCCACAGCCACTGGTGCTTTGTGCCTGAAAACTGAACTGATGTGATTGCAGTTTAAGGCAACACAGAGGAGTAGCTGGAAGGCAGCAAGGCAGCATCTAGTGTGTAAGAGTGGATAGCAACATCCCAGCCAGTGTGCTGAGCTACTGCAGGCCGCCAGCATCAAGTTGCTGCCACAACCTGTTGGTGTCAGAATAGTCAGTTTGAACATGTTGTCCTTCTCTGGGCTTAAAACAGGTTTGGGACTTGCATCTCTGCCAACAAAAATCTCATTTGAATTCCCTTAAGGTCAAATAATTTGGAGTGTAGGTGTTTCTGAGAGCAGAGACCCTCTGAGCGGAAGACTGTCATGGGGCATGTTCACCTCCTTTCTCTTCCTTGAGAAACAGTGAATTCTGCAAGGTTTGAGTGAATCATTTGTATCTCAGGGACGTCCTTTGACCTTGGTCTTGCCCTTCCCTGGGGAACCGGTGAAAATTTCCATTCAGATATCAGTGAGGACGTTTGTGCCATGTAAGACAATGTTAGCACAATGCTTTATATATTTCAAACTGATGGACAGTACTGTGGGGGTAAAAAACTGAATAATATCTATTTTTTTTAAACAGAAGGCCATCATTAGCCATGTCTCACCTGACATCCTTTATCTGTTCAGAGTTCAAGCAGTTTGCCGAAATGAAATGCGTAGTGACTTTAGCCAGACTATGCTCTTTCAAGGTAAAAAAACCCAAACGTACATACATATTCTTACATGAAGTGACTCTTTGCGTGTTTAACATTTTCTTTACAGAATGCTGTATGGTGTGGAATGATTTCAGATGATGTTTGAATGCATGCAGATAATGCTTATTTTATATTGTGACCAGTGACTGTCAGTGCCTTATTTCCAGTGATGGGAATTTGCCTAGTGCAAAACTTTTCTTGGTGTTAGTTTTCTAGAACAAATCCATTGCAGACTCTTACACATCAGCTATAGCAGAACATGCAGATGTACTTACTTTATGTAAAGGGAGAAGTAGATCAGTCTCATGTTGAGAATCACACGTAGAGATGTTTTACTGTACGCACAACATGGACACAGCTTAGTTCTGCCCGGGTGTCTGCAGTGTGTGCTGTGGTGTTAACAACATCGCAGGGAGAGCAGGAATCAGACAGGGAACGTCCTGTCCAATCAAAATCTCACCATTTCTTAGTATCTTGTCTCAGCATAGTGTTATGAAGCTTACTTCAGGTGCCAGGCAGAAGTCAGAAACTTGTGTGTTACTGCTTATGACCTTTTTTGGCAGATGGTAGAATTGAAAGATTCTTTGAGGTTTGACCATGATACCTATTACATTACAGTTAAAGGAGTAAATAGTTACTGGCAGTTTTGCCAGATACTCCGGGCACTCTAGTTCAAAGTGTTGGAAGTGATACACACATTACAGTGAGAGCGGATGTTGTGTTTCCTTCCAAGTCTCCCCTAAAAGAAATTTGATTTCAAATCTTCAGCTGTGTTCAAGCTTTCAAAACATTGTTCAGAATGTGATTATAGTTTTACTTTAGGTAAATAGCAATATATAAGGCTAATATATAAGGCAGAAAAAAAAGGCCAGGCCTGAGTGCTTAAAGAATAACACATCTCTCTTTAGGCACAAGTACAGAGTTAGGTGAATAATATCAAAATTGCCTTAACTCCAGACTGAGAAAGCATATATATTTTGGACTTCATTGCATGCAACAGGTCTTCTCTGACGTTTTCCTGCCAAGCTCTTGGTTACCGATTCATCCATAGGCCTCAATTTCCTTTCCGCGTTGACAGGCTTAATAGTAGCAATTCAGCAACTGTTTAGCAAGAATTGTATAGTGATATGGCTGTCAGTTCCTGACTCCCTTCCCAGTCCACTGAAATGCTCTTGTTCTTTGTTTCTCAGCTAACACTACTCGAATTTTCGAGGGGACCAGAATTGTGAAAACAGGAGTGGTAAGTTGGGGGTCATAAATCACTGCAGTGAGCTTATGGGCGCTGGGGAGTCGGGGATGGGCGCTGGGGAGTCGGGGCAGCGCTCCCACCAGGTGGCAGCACGATGTTGTGAATGTGCTGCAGCCCGCGCTGTCCTGGGGAGGTGGTTGCTCGAACCGAACCGCAAAGGAACCCACCTGACATGTGGAAGGGATTTTGGCTTTTTCACTTCACGTTCTGAGAGGCTTTGACCACTGGGGACTCGCGAGTTAGAAAAAAAATCTTCCCAAATATGTTTTGCATGCATTTAGAGGGGATATGTGATCTTAATGACTGTGGAAACTAATTTAACTGTTCTTATTAATTGCTTAGCCAAAAGTATATGCAACAAGAATCATGCTTCATGCACAGCATCTTAGCTCGAAACTATCAATAACTGAAAAAACTGTCAATACTCAGTGCACCAAACCGTTCAGTCAGATTTATGAACTGAGCTCAAACTATTGAATTTTCTGCAAGGATGCTGCTTCTAGTTTTATTCTGCTCCGGTCTGATATACTCCCTAGTAAGCAAGTAAGGCATACAGAGCTTGAATTTGAATGATTAATGTTGGTTTAATGATGTATAGAGGTGTTCTAGATATGTAAAATCTGCTGCCAAGTTGTAATACCCAGTCGAGCTTTGAGACTGCACATGCCAGCAATGAGCAAACCTCACAGTGCCTTAGGGATTCACACTGATAAGCACCCAAAAGTTTAGATGCTTATTTAAAGTTTTGACTTGAAATCTATAAAGCACAGGTTTGCTTTTGAGATCTCAGGTACTCTATGATTGCAGCTGGTTAAAAATAACATGTGAGAGCCTTTCTTGTTTTGCTGCAGCATTTCAACTGCATGGCCTGATTGAAACTGGGAATTGCAGAGATGCAGAAATACTGTTAAGTTACAGATTTCAGCTTCAGAAATACAGACATCTTATGGCCTTGTTTGAGATTCAGTAGGACCTATTTAACCCCTGTTTGTCCTTGTATGGTAGGCACCTTTCCACCTAAAGCTCTTCTTGCTGGCTAATCTAGTACCAAGAAGCAGATTGTAGTAAGTCAGAAAGAGAACATGTTGAGGTGATGTGGACAGTGTTGATCTCAGCTCTCGCACATATTTGCTTCCTGTCCTTAGACAAACGCACTTAGCCTCACTGTCTTTTTCTACATATAATTTAGAATTGTTTGTCTCTCTCTTATATATACCAAAGTTCTCCATTTCAGGTGGAACATACATGTTTGTGCGCAGAGAATGAGTGCACATTGCACCAAGTTGACTTTATGGGGGTAACATTGGCAGTTTGCAGAGATGTCTAAGTTCATGGTTTGTTCTCTGCTTCCCCTCAGTTCTCCAGGCTACCTGGCAGTGGCTGGAACTTGTATGGGCAGGCAGAATCCCATGGATGGAGAAAACCAAGTACACATGTGGGTCTTTCAGTCAGATGATGCTGGTAGAGCTGATTTGCCAAAAAGACCCTGATGCTTTGCAAGTCCTTCAGGAGTGCCCAGCTAGTATTGTTGCAGCTCTTTTCTAAAGAGAGCAGTATCTCATGTTTGCTGCAGCACTAGTCCTTAGCAGAATGATGCTCATGGGTACTTTAGGAAATTAAAACAGTACTACTTAAGGCCCTCACAGTGCATGTGGGAAGAGCCAGTTTCCTATCAGAGCAAACCCACCAGCCGTGGATGCACATGTTGGCAATACAGCTGTTATTTCAGGACAACCCTTATGTAACACTGTATTTTTAAGCTTCTGTATTCTGAGGGTTAAAGCACTGTGAGTAATGAAGCTAAACTCATTAAGCTTCATTAAATCTTCTCTTACCCCTGAGAGGAAACACTACTCACAAGTCACTGGTGATGTGGATGGAGAGTGTTCCACCATCAAATAAGGAATAAAGAGGCTTTTTATGTTAGCGATTGTTCAGAAATAGCAAACACAGGTTTCCTCTTATAGTCATTTGTGGCTCTGTTGCTTCTGCTGTTCCTGGTTCAGCCTTGCATCTGGGTACTTCAGGTCTCTCAAAATAAGAGAATAGCAGAATGGTGTTTGTGCGGAAAGGGAGAGAAAAACAAAGGGAAAATGACCACAGATAGCGTGTTAGGACCCCTACTGATGCTCTCTGCTCTTGTTTTCTTCCCCTTTGCTCCTGGTGATCTCCTCAAGCCCACAGCCTCTCCTGCCTCCTCAGCCGACATGGCTCCCATCAGTTCCGGCTCCTCCACTTGGACCTCCTCGGGGCTCCCCTTCTCCTTTGTGTCCATGGCCACAGGGATGGGGCCTTCCTCCAGTGGCAGCCAGGCCACCGTGGCCTCAGTGGTGACCAGCACCTTGCTGGCGGGGCTGGGCTTCAGCGGCAGCGGCATCTCCTCCTTCCCCAGCAGCGTGTGGCCCACCCGGCTGCCCACGGCAGCCACCCCCAGCAAGCAGGCTGGGCGGCCTGTGGTGGCCACCACTGAGCCTGCTGCTGCCTCCCCAGGGCCAGAGCGGGACTCGGCACTGACAAAGGATGGCGAGGGAGCCGAGGAAGGGGAGAAGGATGAAAAGAGTGAAAGTGAGGATGGAGAAAGAGAGCGTGAGGAAGAAGATGAAAAGGAGGCTGAAAAGAAGGAGAAAAGCAGGGCAACAGCTGCGGCGGAAGCACGCAATAGCACAGAGCCCAGCGTGGCCACGGCTTCACCCAACTGGACTGCTGAGGAGGAAGGAAATAAAACCATATCAGATGAAGAGCCGAACCAAAATGTTGCTCCCAAGGCTGGACATCCTGAGGAGGAGAGTTTTACTGAAGTAGACACTCAGCCCCAGCCTCTCCCTTCCACCCAAGTGCCGCCGGCGTTCACCGATGAACTTTATCTGGGAAAGATCCCGAGAAGACCAGAGACAACAAGAAAACCTCTCCCAAAGGACGACAGGTTTCCAGAGGAACATCCCTCAGATAACAAATTCATCACCATTAATCCAGGTGAGTGACATCCGGGGAAACTCTTTTTACAAGCATAAGATTGTTGGGAAGTTACACAAACCACATTGCTTACTGATTTCCAAAAGGCACAACAATTTTTTTTGGTGCCTGGTTTCCCCATTAGATAGTTCATCACAGGACCCGACCAACAAATTGTTACTGGGAGGAGGAGAGAGAGAAGGATGATAATTTTATTTTCTTACAACAGATTTCTGCTACTCGAATTCCTTAATAGAAGAGAAAATTTGGAAAAAGTGTTTTGGGAAAAGGCTACGTGAAGAGCTTTGTTTTGATTTTTAAAAAGAGGAAATGCAGTGAACTATAGCTGTGAAATTAATTTGTAAGAGTGGTTGCTGTGCCAAGCTGGTGTTTCAAGGGAGGCTTTCTCTGTATGCTCTAAGCTAATTTTGTTTATCTGCAGGATTCTCCCTGATAGGGCTTTGAGATATTCTCCCAAATATGGGATCATTGGTGGTTTATTCCTCACCTCAAAACCTACATGCTCTGTTTTTGCAAGGCACCTTCTGTGCTGGGGTTGCCTTCTTTTATGTATGAAATGATCTCAGCCAGAGTGAGCTCATGGAATTGTTCATTTGTCCTGATAAGAATTATAGCTCTCCTGTATACATCCACTCTAGATTTATGTACCTACTGTACATAACGTACGCAGCACATACAATCTTTTTGCATCTATCAGAACACCAAATCCTGTATGGTCTGGAGCTACTTACATAAACAGGCATCTCCTGGTGCTCCCAGCTAAGTGTGCAGAAGGTCCATTGGGTATAGACATGTTCTTTCTTGAGGATCTCAAGGTGTTGGTGAGAAAAACAGATATTTTAACTGCAAGGAGCAAATGGAGTGCATTCATACAGATTGGTTGGCAGAGTATGGTCTAGGATTTGGATACAAGAAGAAGTTTGTCTGAGTGATTATGTGTATTACCACAGCATTTATAAGATATCGCATGTTTTTATTATTTGTTATTTGATTGTTATTGTTTATTTTGCTAATCTATAGACTGTTTTGTAATTTCATTTTCCATCGAAGCAGGTCTGGAGTTAGATTACTGTGAAAAAACCTTAAATATTTATTTTTCCCTACGTTTAGAAACACAAAAATGCAGACGTTGTGCACTCAGTTATAGCTGAGAACCAATTTAAAAAACAAAGCTAAATCCTATCTTTAATAACATTTGTTACAGAAATGCTGACCTGACTGTAATGCTGTGAATCATAACTGTTCTGTAAGAGAACAGATTAATGGGGAAACCAAGAAACGTACATCATATTTTGCTGTTTTTTTAAATTTTATTTTACTTTTAATAAATATACTGCCATTTTTCTTACTCCTCACCTGAAAATCATCTTCAAAGTCCACTGCTCCCACTGAATATGATGCGAGATGCCTGCCAGGCAGCTTTCAGCATGCCATTTGCCTTTAACACCATTTTAGTGAGAGGGAGGGAATGTTCTTTGCAGTGCTGTGAGTAAGCATTCAGCATTGTTACCCAACAGTTTGATCTGCATCAGTAAACCTGCTTCTGGAATAGCTATCTTTAGTTCTTCTTGCCTTTCTTGCTTTGTGTTTTCTCTTGCACCAGTTTCTTAGATGGCCCAACTATGACACCCCTTATATAAGTGCTGGCAGAAGGCCTTGTGGCTTGTTCTCAGCCTAATACAAATTGAAAGAAGGATGAATAGCTGGTCTTACTAGCTAGATCATGACAAAATGATTCTTATTAGATAGGGTTTTATTCCATGAAGAAGATAAAAATCAATGAAGAGAGAAATATCATTCATATTGCTAAGAAGTACTTGCTGGTTGTATCCCCTCAGTCTGTAGTGATTTCTGTCTCTTTTTAGCATGCAGAGAACTATCACTGAAAGTAGTTCAATGCAGCTTTGCCTCCTACCTGACAGGCTCTTTTAAGAGCTCTGCGTACTTGCAGGCTTGGAAGCTTGAAGTGACCCTACCTGAAGACTGCATGCAAAGATGATTGGTCTTGAAAAGACTCTGCAAATGAGGTTTTTCTGTGCTTATATGGGGGAAGGATAACTGCTGAAGATCGCTGTCTATTAATAGTCTGGTTTCCCTGTATAGGAAACAAAGTCTGAAGTAACCAGCACATATTAGCTGGGGAATAAGATAAGTGAAAGAGTCATCTGTTTTACCCCAGCTGACCTTAGTTAAATCTTAGTTAAACCTCTGGTGATGTAGCCAGTGCGAGGGGAGGGAACTGTGCCATGTTTTATGTCCCCGTTCATTGCAGGGGAGATGGACTAGATAGCCTTTAAGGGTCACTTCCAATTCAAACGATTCTGTGATTTTCAGCTTCCCAGACAAGCTTCATCAAGGTCCCTCAGCATGCTGGGGAAGACGTTTGGCAGCTGAAGGCAGGAGTAGCTGTTCAGAGAAGAAGGGTCCGAGTGTGCCGTTTTCCCTTGTTCATTCCTTGTCCTTGACTTCTAGGTGGGAAAAGCTAGGCTGTTCACAACTGTGGCAAGACATTGCCTAGATTGTAATTGTAAGACAAACATCCTTCAGTTCTGCTAAGATTTTGAGATGCTTCTTAGTGCCTTTGGGACAGAGGCATTCAGTCTGAATCTCTGTAGTTGTGAGGATGTTGTCCTTCAAAGTCCATCCAGGCAAGGCTCTTCTCCTTGCATCTTGTCCCCAGGCTGTGACTGGGAAGAGCTGAGGCCTGCCTGACCAGAATTTGCCCAAATATTTTAGTAGATGTGTCTGAATAAGAGAGCAGGAACTTTTTTAATGCATTTTTTTCTCCAGGAAAACACTTTTAAGAAAGCTGTCAGAGTTTCCAAAATGTCTTTGTGAGTAGAAAGTTTAATCATTTTAAAGAGCAGAAAATTGTTTCATAACAATGTGCACTTGTAAAATTAATTCTATAGCAACAAATTAGCAGTTGTGAGGAGATAACTGAATGGGGAAGTACTCATGAGTGTGGATGATTAGAAGGGAATGGGGAACACAAGAAATTACGGGGAAAGTGCGAGGCCAATTAGTACATCAAGGCTCATTTTCCTTTAGTGTTTGTTTCACACACATACACACACCTCTCCTGAGGCCATGTCATTATTTTCCAAATGGCATCGGCCTCTTCTTGTCTGGTGGTATTGGCCAACATTAATGATTTTCTTCTGTCACTGAGCGCTTGCTTGCATTCTCTTTCATTTTACTGATCATCCCTTTCTCTGTTTTGTTGCCCACATTAGGCTAATTGTACCTTTGATCTGCAACTGTTACACACACAGCTGCTCAGCATTGTCTGTGACTCTGAAACCTGAAAATTAGAAAAGCAGCAATTAGAATGATGCTAAAAAAAAAAAAAAGAGAGAAAGTAAAGAAAAAAAAGAAAGAAGCAGGGAAGTAGGATGATTCAGTTTAATCAGACTACAGCAGATACAGCCCATTAGAATTTTGGTTTGTTGTGCCGAAAAGTTGAGCAGACCCTCTGCTTTCGATAGGAGATGAAGAAAGGAGATGTTGTGAGCAAGGCAGTGCAAGCCTGGTTGGGGCTTTTAACCTGAGTCATGAACTGGGACTAAGAACAGAGGCCTGGGTTTGGCTCTTGATGGAAACTTCACCTGGGTCCTCCCATCCCTCAGCGCCCACTCATTTATGCTGAGTTCTTCCCCTGGGAGGGCCATGTAGAGAGATCACAATGTACAGATTAAACTTGAAGCCAGGCATGTACTTTTAGCATAGTGAATTTTAGTTTATTAAGCAGTCTTTGCCAGGCCTGAGGTTACAAAAGCCTTTTGGGGGTAACCTCATTAAGATAATTAAACATCTGTGTAATTCTTTCTTTCTCCATACATGGCAAGGATTATTAAACTGTATTTTCCTGTGGCATATGAGCCATTTCGCATGGCAGTTTATATGAGCAAGCAGTAAAATGGCTTGCATATGAAAGAATTGGATTACTGAAAGCAATTTGAGTAGGCAAGCAGTATGAATCTCAGTTATCCAACATCAGGGTTAAACATGATTGGCATCTGTTTACAAAACAGTGAAAAGCCATGCCATGTTGTGTTCAACCTGTAAGTATGAATGCTGCAGAAATGCCTTCAAAGAAATAGGAAGAAAATAGCTGTGCAATAATACAAGCTCATGTGAAAGTAATCTTTTTAAAAAGCACATGTTTTTGCAACTCCATGTTTGAATAACTAATAGCTTTGTATAAGTCAGTAATTTTGTTTGCTGGTAGCTGCCTTTCTTTCAGGTGACAAGATGATCTGAGGCAGCACTGCAGTGGGGGTTTTCTTTGGGCGTGCAGAATGTGTACTTCGTAGTTAGGGATCTGTAACAGTACAACAAACAGAACTTTGTACTGTGGTTTGTGTAACATCAAGGAACGATAATGGGAAGTTTCAAAATAAAAAGGTACATACCTTATATATTGCACCTACGGTTGCTTACTATAGCAGGCAGTGCAACTTCAGGGATATAAACTTCCCCATTCTCAGTAACCAACTACCAGGAATACACAGAAAAAACAGTACGTTTCGTAGTCTATAGAATGCCTTGACCTTTGTACACGAGTTTCACTGCCCACTACTCTACAATAATGTCCATTCCATGGCCTCATCCATTCCAGGACCTGGATGGCATTGCTGAATGAGTGCTTTGCAGAAAAGTGCAAGTTACAGATTTTTGCAGACGTAGAAGTTAATCTAGCAGTGCTGAGGCTTGTGTCATGTGGGACCTCCTGAAACAAATACACTGTAATAATTTTTATTCCCTCCTACCGGGATGTATTCCAAGCCAGTAAAAGGCAAACTGAATTAATTCAACGAAGGCATATGCCACTGGAAACTGTTTACATTTCTTATGAAAAATTGAGTTTCGTGGTCCATTTTTAAGCCTTTTTTTTTTTTTTCCCCTGCAAGGATATGCTGTTGGTGATACCATGTCTCAACATTCTTGCTTTGGAAAAGGAAGAGTTAAATTCTTAGTATTTTTAATTGTATGTGTTTTGATATGAGGTGAACGGGGAAATAAATAGGCCTGGATCCGTCTTTTTTGTGTGTGCTTTCTTTAACTTCTTTCCACATTGCTCAGCGTGCTGCCTATTCTTAGGATTTTTTGCCTAAATGAGACACCCACCAGCACTCTAGCTCTATTGCTACACTTCTAGCCCTAGCTGTCATTCTACAACAGCTTTACTAGCATTGTTTTATTTAACCTCTCTCAACACTTTACTTAGCAGTGGAAAACACCTAACACATCCTCAAAGCCAGCACAGGAATGGCAGGAATGGTTTATGTTTTTCTGCAGCACATCACTGCCTAGGCATTCCCAACTGGAAGTCAGGGCCAGCCATCAGCATGCAGGAATGGCATTTGCAATTCTGGCACTCGGCACACTGAGCACTTCTGATCCTCACATCTGCGGTAGATGGAGTTGGCAGGGGCAGATAAGTGTGTTCTCCACAGTAGACTGAGTCAGAGGAGCATCATGAGCATTGCAGAATTTGTTAGCGTGCACTGGGACTCTTGCCTGTGCTGTGCTTAGAATGGATTTAATTTTCTTCCCATGCAAACAAAAACATACGTTTTTATGTTGAAATATGTGGAGGTGAAACAGAATAGAATATTGTCCTTAGAGGGAAATGAAGTAATATCCTAATAGATCTAAGGTGCTGGGGAGCATTTGGCTCCTTGCTGGGCTTTATTTCAGTGCGTGCTTTTACTTTTTCCTTTTTGCCGTTCTGATTAGTAACACTTACCTCACAGTCTTAACTTTTTCATGCTATTAGATGATTTGAAATGCACTGATAAAAAAGAAAAAAGATGCCTCAGGGCTTATGATTTTTGCAAGTTTTACAAATACAGAGAATAAATCTTTGCTTTTAGTTCGGGGTTGTTCTTTTTCTTACTCTTTGCTGGTCAAGGATATCAAAGACCTGTCTTTAAAATGGTATGTTGTATGTTATTAGTATGCTGTGAAGACTAAAGCTCGCCACGTGCTCTAAGTACAACAATGTGTGGCTCTGTTGGTAACCTCAATATCTTTTCAGACTGAAGTCAGAGACAACTGGCTACTCATCTTGCTTTGATAATTTCTACACTCAGTGCACGTTCACTTCCCCCAAACATCCCTCTGATTAGCACTTCATTTAGGTTGCTTGCTAAAGGGCATTACCTCCATCAGCCTATTTCTTAAAACGAGAAAGATTTCTTGCTGGGCTTGCAGCAGCCTGCAGCCTCACTCTGTTTTCAGCAGTCAGGCAAAAAGCATTTACAATTAACCTTTACTTCCATGTTAGTTGAATTTTACTCCTGCCTATGGAGGAGTATAATCTAAATACTATTAAAATAGAGTATGACTTCATATTATGTGACATCTGGTGACTTCCAATTATCTGTGTTTTGCCTGCCCACGGTGCAAAGGCAATTATGTTCTTCTGGTCGGATTTGCAGCAGTTTCAGAAGATATGATAATACAGTAGTGAAGGAGGGCAAGGAAGCACATTGGTAAGGAAAGACTTGCATGGGCTGATAAGTAGAAGTCAAGTATGTACATTTCAATTCTCATTCAAATCAGAAGCTGTTCACAGTAATTGTTTCCCATTATATCCCACTGACAGGTATTGATCAGCTCCTGCCTGTTTTTTCAGAAACATGAATGAAATACAGAATCCACTTCTATATTTTTGTTTATAATCTCATTCTGCCTACCATGATTTTAGAATCATAGGATATCCCAAGCTGCAAGGGACTCACAGAAGGGTCTTTGAGTCCAATTCTGTAGCAGCTTGAAATTTATATCTGATAATTATCTTTGAAATAAATATAAACAAGTATCTGAAAAGGGTCCACTCTCATTAACTTCCGTACTTGCAGTAATTTTATTATGGTGTTCGAATCATGAAAAAAGTGAAACAGTTACTCGACCAGATCTCAGAATATTGACCAACTTTAATTTTGTTCAAAAGCTGTAGCATAATGATTTCTTCTGTCAGTTACAACACATACTATCCATTCATTCATCCATCCATCTTGACAATCCATATGCTAAAAAGTGCATTCGTATGCAGTAACTCACCAGATTGTGACAATTCAGCAAATGATGTGACATGACACCCAACATGTTGAGGATTTTTATTTTAAGATAGTTACCAAGAAATTTACTTCTGAAGGAGAGTATGCTGAACTTGGCAAACAAGAGCTGCCCTGTAGTGTTGAGAAACAGGGTGCATTTACCTGCAAACAGTGATGATGGAGCAAAATATTTACTTTGCTACTGTGGTGGAATAATTCAGTGGGATCCTCCACGTCTGATAATAGGTGCTTGCATGCTTCCTAAAATTGTGTATGACACTGTAATTACAGGCAGGAGTAAAATCCAAGCCATATGTGGCAATAAACACCATACTTTTGTGCTCTTAAGTTTCAAATTAAAGACAAATGGAGTCCCACCCTGCAATTAGAAGATCTTTGCTCTGAATGTTTGCTCATATCATGTAAAATGGAGAAACTATTTGTTTTCCTGACATATTTCTCCACACTGTAAATCTCTTTACACTTTGTGATTGTTTTTATTGTGTGCTTAATATGCAGCTGACAAGAACAGTTCCAGCATGGCCACGAGACCTTCTCCTGGTAAAATGGAATGGATCATCCCGCTTATTGTGGTCTCAGCACTGACTTTTGTGTGCCTCATTCTTCTCATTGCTGTGCTTGTCTACTGGAGGTGAGCATGTTTCCTTTACATGCAGAAACTGATCATGGTTTAAAACACGTTTGGAATGATTTTTTTAGTGTGGTCCTGTGTTTTTTATTTTGTTGGATGTTATGATGATAGATGCATTAGTTGTCTCTCTGGTTGCTGGAACGTCTCTGTTGGGTTAACTATTCAACAGCCTCAAATACCGTTTTTTTGTGTCGTGAAATTTGGTTACTAATAGCAATGTCAGAGCCAGCTGTAATGTCAACAGGTATTTCCACAGTTGGCCTTAGTCTTAGCTGTGAGGAAAGATGGTCATGGGAGAAAAGCCCAGTGAGACTTAATTCCTGTGTGATCTTAAGGTGCTTGTTTTCTTCCTTTGTATTTCCATGAAAGGGGGATAAAATCATTTAATGCTCCATAACACTGCACTTAGGAGCACGTTCTAAAAGTAGCATTGGTGAAGTGTTCAGAAGTACAGATCCTGAAGGAAAAACATCCTCTTAAGGAGAGATGTCATCCTTTACACCGGTTGGGCTCAGTGGTGAAGGCTAGGTTTGCCACCAACAAACCAACTTCAGTTAATTTAGAAGAAGACAGAAGCTGGAGTGCATTCTTACGTCAGAACCAAAACTCTGAGACACCTCATTTGTCTTGTAGTGAAATGTAACCAGAGATTAACCTCAGAAAAGGTATTTTGGAATTATTTCAAAATCTGATTAGCCAAGACACAGAAAAGTAGCTTTGGTGAGGAATAGCAGTCCATTGATCATTTTATTTGCAGAATCAGTTAAAAAAATACCAATTTGTTTTCCAGTACCCCCATTTTCCTGATGATCAATGACAAATTGTCAAGGCTGGGAACATTCTAAAATACATTAGTGAATAGATGACAGTACTCTTGTGAAGATCATTTCTCTTTATATTAGCTAATAATTGACATGACTGCAATAAAACAAGTGAATAAAATTGCACTGATACATGCATAGAAGCCGAAATTGGAAAAGATACAAAGATGCCAGTTCAGTGTCCTGCTCTTCAGTATACCTCTTGTCCAAAATCTCTCCTGTTTTTCTTTCTTTTGGAAGAGTAAACGTGGTCCCATTCATACCAGCCAAGCCCTCAAAGTATGTGGCATATTCTGAAGCACTGTAGTGTAGGACTAGTTGATCTTGCTTCAGTACAAAATGCTCTGCTAGGGAGGATGGATTTGGAGATAAAATGCTAACAACCATTATGGAGAAGAATGTTGGTATCTCTCATTGTTTGAAAAACATTTACATTTCCTGCAATTTCACTAATGGATGGAGATAAATAATTGCAAAATTAGTATTTAATCCACTTAAAGAGTAACAGTGCTGTCCCTGAGAGAATATTAAGGTTTGAAAGAACTGGCTTAGTGATGAGACTAATTTTGGTAAATACTGCTTTTTGTAATAGATCATAATGTTATTCAAGTCTAAAATTAACATACATTAATTAAAGTTAAATGCTTTTTATCTTTCAAATTCCTAACCATCTACCTCATAACATTTTTATTTGCTTAGTAATAACAACCTAGCAGATAAATCAAGGGAAGTACAGCAACAAAGGCTTTAACTGAAACCTGTAATATTTGTTATTTTGCATACAGACGGCAGTTGGATTTTATCTGTTCTGCATAATTTGCATGAGTAGTTAACATTCATCGATAGCTTTGGTAGAAGTATGAGTGTATAATATATTTAAGCCTTTGACAACCATGGATACATTTGTATGCGTATAGCTGATGTTAAAAAAAAAAATGTTGGAGGTTAAAAATTAATACAGGCATGGAAACTGTGTCAAAAGGTTTTTTTTTTATAAATATGAGGCAATAAATTGAGGAACGATAAATAAACTTGAGGGTACTCGTTCTCAGTTCAAAATAATGCATTTCTAGTTCATGGCTCCAAGGATTTTTTAAACAAATACAGAACACGTATATAAGAGAAGGGAATGCGTGTTTTAGGATAAATCAGCAAGCAGCCAGAACACAAATTGTCCACGGTAACATTTCACGCTGTGCAGACCATGTCATTGAAGTGGTAACACAACATTTTGTATGCCCTTTTCAATGTGATTAGCATTCTTCAGGGAAAATAAAATGTTTATCTCTGGGAGTGCTTGAAGGTAAGGGAAAAAGAGAACCTCAAACAGCTCAGAGTGTCATTTACAAGTTGGAAAGGAACAGTGATCTGGATTTTCAGGAAAAAATACTTAGCTTGAAATCTAATAGGCAACATATGGAATAATTTGCTAAATAACACCATCAAAGCAAATGGCATGAAGAAGAGTTTGAGACAGATTTTTCAGTAAGGGAAACGTGCTATTGAAGGGGAAGATGCTGTATGCAGAGAAATGCTTGTTGTAAAAGGATAACCCTCAAGGGGACAGGCGTGCTGGACCAAGGGGTCTTTTCTTGCACAGCAATTGTTTGCTCTCTTGTGAGAAAAAGCATTGAAAAATACCACGCAGACAAGTAGAAAATGCAGAAGAGACATGGCTACCCTTTGGCAATACATCACAAGGGTAAAACAAATGATATTTTCACTTTTGCATTTCTGAGCATTTGTGGGATTACAAGACTAAAGAACAGAGGTGACATAAGTAGAACAATGAAGCAGAGCAAAGCCTTCTGCTTCTTCACATTGCATTGGTCCCCTGTTATCCAGGGACCAAAATAAGGAATTAATGATTTGCTTATGAAGGTTTGGCAAAACGTTTCTCTCTGTTCTGCTCCGTTGTAACTCATTCTCTGATACAGAACTAAAGTAAGTTTTGTGATGATATATTGTAAAGAAGCTTCATTTTCCCTTCACTTTATGTGAAAAGGAGAATTGTAAGAATCAGTCACTGTTTGATGAAGCTTTCCCTGTATCTATGGAACTTCCATGCTGTGTTCATTAGAGGCTTCTTGTAATTTAACGTATATGGGAATGATTTGTCCCATTTCTGAATAAGACTCCCTTATTTGCAGAGGTAATTTTCTGTTCTTAGTTCCTTTTCCATGTGGATCCTGGACAAATGGCGAAAGGATATGATTGATGTTGATGAGAAAGGGTCATTTCCTTCTTTTTATCTGATAGCCATCTCGGTAATGAAAAGGGATGGGAACTTACAGGCAAGCAGCAGTTCTGAATTACCTTTCCATTGAAGTTTCTTAAATTCAGTACTTCTAATGGCACTACTGTGCAAAGAGATGTATGTGATCTGAAGTTGGAAGAGCAGAAAATAAACTAGGTCAGCATAATGAAACTGCAAAAATTGTCCTGTCTGTTATCCCAGAACAATGAAGAGAGCATCACTGTGTGATGACCGGGAGCCACGGAGTGCACAGAGGGTGGGTAGGAGTTCCTCTTCCTGGGCATGGGGGCAGCTTGTTTCCATGCATCTTTGATTCTTCATAAGGAGAAGCTGGCCTGGATGGTCCTTGAGCTGCCCTGGGCACAATGAAGGGAGCTGTTGCTCCCAGTTCTAAAACCTGAAACTGGTATCTTTTAGTATTGAGGCATAGCAGCATTCATTCCTTTCAGACTGATTCCAGAAATTGGATTCTGTTTGGACAACCATAGTTTTGGAGAACTATTCACTCTGATTTTAGGATCTTTCTTTGGAGTGCTACTAGCTCATACAGAGCCCATTCAAGTGTGTGCATTGAAAGCTGCAGTTTACCAAGCACATGATTTCTGCATTTCTGGGCATTTGTTTTGCATCTGTGATTTTATATCCAGACTCAGTACTGTGAGATCATTCTGCAGTTCTTCAAGGTCAGTTTAAAATTTGACTTCCATGTTCTGCATTCTCTGCCACTGTTACTCTTAAAGCCTTTTCTATGAACTTTGAGAATCACAATGTGTTGGTAGTGACCTCCAAACTATTTAGGGATTGAGTGTGACTTCAGTTTTTTTGCAACACGATGACTTCCTACAGCATGATGAGCCATACTATGGCTTGAAGCTTTCTCTGTATTCTTCTTGCAAATTGAACAAGTCCTGAACATTGACACTGTAAGGAAAACCCGAGGTCAGTGGCACTTTCTTTCTCACAGAGGTGTAAAAGTGTGAATAGGGTTAAGAAATCAACTAAAATACTGAGATGCACATTGCATTCTGTCACTTCAGAAAAAAACAGTATTTTTAGGAGCGACTGGTGACCTTCCCCTGTTTGTTTTCCGTTTTGATTTTTAATCTAAATATTACATTGCTATAGACTGTGATTTCAAAGGGAAAAATAAGCAGAGAATATTAAGACACAATTAAGATTTTAGAGTTTAGCCAACAGCAACTTTTAAATGGGAACTAAATTATAGCCATTTCTCATTTTCAGCTAAGAGGTAGAAATTAATTCAGCGCTATAGCTGGAGAGTTTTCTGTTTCTTTCTTTTCTGCAGATACCATAATTCACCTCTGAATTATTGCCACCATCAACACTGTGATCCCAAAGACAAAGCAGGAATATTGTATTGCATTTCTTATTAAATCAAGCTGTTTATACAGTGCTAATATGTTTACATTCAGGAGGGATTTTTGGAACAACACAGCTGCTGCCTTTCAAAGAGCAAGCAAGCTTGCATTGCTTGTTTATAGCCTTGTGTGTATAAGAGACGGCTTGGGAAAAAGAGGCCTTTAAATTTCCTTGGGCAAAACCCTATAGAATTTAGTAGAGAATATGAGTTTTCTTAGGTTTCTAGTAAGCATCCTGCTGAATTGAACAGAGAGGCCTTGGAGCAGGTCTTGTGACACAGCCTCACACTTCTCCAGCAGTACTTTTCTGCACAGAAGGAACAACACTGAGCACCAGGAGATGCAAGTTTGTTCTCTGACTCTCATTGATTTTCTGTGTGACCTGGGGCCAACTCACTTACAGTTTGACAATCTTGTTGTTGAACTTGGTGGCAAAGACCTCATTGGGAGCAAGCTCAGGTGTTCAATATTTCAGCATCTGAATGCAGTCACTGGTGAAACAGCACCAAAAAAAGGATTGGTTTGCTGTATTTTTAAATCAAT